CCGTTTCTCCCTGATAAAGAGGAAGCCGCCGGCACCCGGCACGTTCGTTTAGGCCAAGAGGTTAAACGTGGCCCGGCATCTCCTCTCTCCGTGCCGTGTGGGCGTTTCGCCGCTTCCGCCGCGGCAGGAAGTGGCTCCCGGAGAAATATACCGACCTCCGAGGTAAATTAGGAGGCGAAACTGGGGAAAAGCGGAAGCGGCAGATCCACGGATTAGATTCCGCCAGTCGGTCAAGTTAAAAGTCTAACGCCTCGTTCAATCCACGGAATTACTCTCGCCTTTACAGCTCTACCTTTGTTGTACGGACTATGTATAGTCGGTGGAAGAAATATGGCGAGGTTTGTAAGATTGGTCGGAAACCTGAGAAGATAAGGGATGTGTGAAGTGTGGCTTAGTTTTGGTTCTGTCTTAATCGAGAAACGTGTGTACACTGTCACGTGTGGACTTTAGGTGCCGCTAATTAATACTTGAATTTATGACGTAACTATATTTGGTCTACCGACTATACACTCGGTGTAAGTAATAAGTGAGAATTAGAGAAGTCAAAACGACAGGTTTCGAGTGCTTGAGAATGGTATTTGCACAAATTTGAAGATGTCTGTTGTACATCCTATGTATAGTCGGTGGAAGAAATAAAGTGAGTTCGTAAAATCGATCAGAAACCTGAGAACATAAGGGCCATGCAGTCTTAATCGGAAAACATGTATAAAACGCCACCTGCAGACACTAGGTTCCACTAATTAATACTTGAATTTATGACTTCGCTATATTTATTCCACCAACTATACACTCGGTGTAAGTAATACGGAGGAATTAGAGGAGTCAAAACGACAGGTTTCGAGTGCTTGAGAATGGTATTTGCACAAATTTGAAGATCTCTGTTGTACTTCCTATGTATAGTCGGTGGAAGAAATATAGTGAGTTCGTAAAATCGATCAGAAACCTGAGAACATAAGGGCCATGCAGTCTTAATCGGAAAACATGTATAAAACGCCACCTGCAGACACTAGGTTCCACTAATTAATACTTGAATTTATGACTTCGCTATATTTATTCCACCAACTATACACTCGGTGTAAGTAATACGGAGGAATTAGAGGAGTCAAAACGACAGGTTTCGAGTGCTTGAGAATGGTATTTGCACAAATTTGAAGATCTTTGTTGTACATCCTATGTATAGTCGGTGGAAGAAATATAGTGAGTTCGTAAAATCGATCAAAAACCTGAGAAGACAAGGGCCATGCAGTCTTAATCGAAAAACATGTATAAAATGCCACGTGTAGGCTCTAGGTATTACTAATTAATACTTTCATTTATGACTTTGCTATATTTCTTTCTCCGACTCGGTGGAAGCACTATCTACGTACAACAAAAAACCAGAGAAAATAATATTTCCGGGGTCAAAAACGACAGATTCCGAGGGCTCGCAAATACCATCAACAAAAACCCCCAAAAAACCCGTATCACAAATCCCACAAAAGGTTGCACGAAGCACACACTTCCATCCCCCCTCGAGTTATTAAGAAAAGCCAGAGTTGATTATCTCGAACACGAGAGCCCGTATCGACAAATTTGATCCCCAGCTCCTTTATTTTCACACGAGAATTGCACCACCAATCTTCCCCTATCCCATTCCACGTACGATAACCTTAGTCGACCTACTTTCGCGCGCGTGACTCTGCACCAAGTACGCCCTTAAATCCCGACGAATTATTAACAAACTGACTACAAACCTTACACCTTTCGAAATTTCGAGCAACCGTTCACCCACCCGCGTGAAATAACACCCGAGAGAAAAGACCGCTACAAAAGGGTTCATTTTCGAAAAGGGACGGGGTAATTGAACGGCGTGAAAGCCGCGAAATCGGTTTAACCGAACACAGCGGTAAGGCCAGCTCAAATTTACCCAACGAGGAGGCGAATTCTCAGCCCGCGGGGCCGAACGCTGCTCGAAGGGGTGGCGCAGCGAGTAAGCGAGCCGGCTTGGCGCGTGCACGCTTGTAACACACCGATAATAGGCGTCGCAAAGTGGCCCGAGTATATTCGAGCATCGACAGCAAACGGAAGGGAGCGAGAGAGAGAAAGCGGAGCCGCGTCGAATGGTTAATTCATGAAACAGTATCCCTTGCTTCTCTCCCTCTTCTCGAGCTTCCGCAACCCCCCTCTCTCTCTCGCTCTCTCGAAACCGTTTAGAAACGTCCGAATATCAATGAATCCACAGGTTCTCGCCCCGGACCTCGGACAATCCGTCGCGAACCTCGCTCTGCTATTCGACAATACCTCCGACAAACGTTATCCGGCCACGGCGAACCACCATCGGTCAAACAAAAACGCCAAGAGCCCGAAAGCTAAACAAATATTTGGATTTTGCGCGGGGCAAACATCGAGGCGGCTCACTGTAAAAAGTTTCGCAGCGCCACACGCGTGTTGTCGGGTCTTTTGACCAGTCCCGGTTAAATAAGTTGTAAGCTTACTGCATCGCGCGCACACATGCACGCTCGTTTATTTAACGAATAATAGAAGAGGAGGGACGAAACGGTGAAAAATTTGCGGAGAGCGAAGTGGAGAAATTGGTTTTTAGCGAGATGAAAAAGCATCGAATGGAGAACACGCGTGCGGTAGAGAATGTATAAATCGTTTCAATCTGTGCTCGTATCGAACAAGAGCGAAATTGTGTAACTCGCTCTGCTGTTCTCTTTTTTCCTTTTAAATATTTCCCATTGAATTTTACGCGACGAGCGTGAATATACAGGGATAATAAGGAATTTATCGACGACGCGGAGGACTCAATCGCGCGGAACGAAGTTCCCCGTGGAAACGAGGGACCGTTTCCGGTTTATGCCCCGTACTCAATGCGGCATAAACGTTCGACGAAAATACGGTTGGATGTTTAAAGGTAAACAGTTATCGAAGTAGCCTCGTTGTAACGTAAAATTTCAACGTGCACACAGCTCGAATATATATTTTTCACCCTCTGTGAAACCCTCGTTCGCAAAACGGCTGTGAAAGTGTGCGCGTGTGTAGTTGGTGCGGGGCCGCCAGTCATATATAAATTTGCCGGGGCGGTGAGTTAATGGGAAAGGTCAGTGACTGCGAAACGCGGCTACAAATTGACGGTTCGGGGCTTTTTTTCGCGGATCCCAATGAATCCACAGGTTTTTTTCATGGGGCTCGTCGCTGCTTTGTTTCCAGCGCCCGGGCCAAATAATTCCTGCCTCGACCCTTGCCCCGCGCGCTCTCCCGCGTTTTTATGAAAATATTTCTCGTCGAGAAGAATAACACGAGATTCCCTGGCAGTCGAAATAAAAAAAGAGAGAGAGAGGGAAAGGTAGAAACGTTAGCCGCGGACAACGCACCGCGCAAACGATTAAATTAGTCCGCGAAGTGGTTTCGTCGTGGCTATTGTCCCTACCGTAAAATAATAAGGGGAAAATGAAAATATATCCACGGGAACGAAATTAAACTGTCCCGAAATATCCGTTTCCGGCATTCATCGCTGCCAAACAGTGCACGGAGAATAATAAGCCGCCGTTTCCGCGGGAGCAATAAAATTCCCTTGTTTCGCCAAGGTTAATTGTGTAATGGACTATAAATGCTAAGTGGCTCCCTGGTTCAAGTCGAAGCTACTTTTCTGGAGGACGCGATAAATGTTGCAAAAACGATGCTTGTTTCTTTGGTTCTTCGTTTTTTATCTGTTTCTCTTTTTTAGGGAGTTTAATTTAGTAAGCAGCGGAAGAAATTCGTGCGGTTTTTCGGTCAGAGATAAAGTCGGGCCGAATTGCTTACAGTAATTCGCGAGTATAATGCATAAGATTTGTGTCAGTGGAAGGTTTTACCTATTTAGTAAAATTACAATTAAAATAAAAATTGGTTATTGTTTGTTGGTTATCAATCGAAAATTGCAAAAATTTGGAGTGTGCATTTCTCTCTTTGCTTCTCTGACTCGTCGAGAAATAAAGAACGTCTGATGGGAAGTTTTATCACATCCTCCTTATAGTCCAAACTTGTTCTCTTATCACTGTTACTTATTTCTGTCTACGTCGAACTTTTTTGCAAAGAAACATTTTGTTCACTATGTCAAGATCGAGACGGCAGTTAATTCATTTTTTGCTAGTGAAACTCGGTATTTTTATATCGACAAAATGCTTGTAGAACGTTGAAAACGAGTTGCGCAAACAAGCGGCGATTGCTTTGTTAACCCTTTCACTGTCAGCCCTAAATACGCGACATATACGAAAAAAGATGGCATAGCCGTTTTGATATGCACGTTTTCATGAATAAAATAAAGAAGCAAATATCAAACAAATATTAAAATTTTACTATTTTTTCTACTTGACTATCTCTATTTTACTGTAATTTCTATTTGACTGCTTCTATTTTACTATTATTTCTATTTACCATTATCTTCCTATTATTCTACAATTTTACTATTTATTTTCTTCCAACTTGAAGCATACGGACTATAATTCAATTATTATCTTTCCGCTGCACTTAAACGCAGGAAAGTATTAAAAAAATTAGATTACAAAAGAACACGAACTTCCACATTTAAATTCTACAAATTCCGCGTGGAAAATTATCTACCTGCCGGTGACAATTTTCGCACAAGCACCAAGGAAAAGGGTTAAACAAAGCAACGTTCCAGGAAGCTTCAAATTACCCGAATTTTCTAAATCTGCACGAACTTTTTCCCATACTCTATCGGAACGATATTCCGCGGAGAAGATAAAATCGCGTAGAAAGACGCGTGCGACGCTGTATAATTTTCCAAGTGAGGGTTATCCGGTCTATATTAAAAGCCTCGTTATCGTCAGCCTCATAATGGGATAGCTTTCCGACGCATCGTCAGAGAGGCAAAGAGAGTTACGTACCCCCGTGTAGAACGCGCGTAACAGGATTTCCGACTTTGATCGCGCCATCGAGCATTTTCACTCGACAGGGGATTACCCCCGAAACACAAGAGGCGTGCACAACACACCGATGTAGGAAACTTTACTTACGAGGCTTCGTGGCTTCCTGCGGCGTCACTTCGGTCAACTGCAAAAAGAAAAACAGGCGATCGTTCAGTACTGATATGATGCTCGGCGCGAAACGCGCGACCTACATTACCAGACTACCCTACATCGATCGAATCAACGCCCAATAACGTCTTACTTTACCTTCTCTCGCGCCTACATTAACACGTTACAACTATTCCGCGAAATGGACGTTTTCCTACAACCATACTTACAGCAGTTGCAAATTTGAGAACAGATCCAATTGTTTTTAACCCCTTAACCCTCCACTGTCGAGGCGGAGTCTCAGAGATTTTCTATTCTCCTCGATTCTATGTAGAACTGAACATTGTTATATTAAAATGAAATTAATACAACCAACCACTCTATTCTGTAATGTTCATTAGGAAAATGTGTAATAAAGGTAAATCGGTAAGGAAAGTTGTCGGAAATGTAAGAACCGACAGAAAAAATTTTTAGGGACTCAAACGGGAATCGAACCCGGGACCTACGGCTTAGCAAGCCGAGGCTTTTTGGGTACGGAGGCCCTTACAGAAATGTTCTATATTTATGTATAAACTAAGTGAAAGTTCAGGAGTTTCGCAGACTCCATATCGGGATTTAGGTCCCAAAAACGGCGTCTCGACAGTAGAGGGTTAACCTACAATTCTGGTCAGGGTGTGACAAAAATAATTGTATTAATTAGAAAAATTAATCGTAATCCTAGCTTCCGTTTTCATTTGTAAGACTGAGCATTGCTGAACGTAACTAACGTGTAACAGATTAGATCTGTTACCCTGTACAGTAGTAAAAGAGTAAAATGGCTGACGCTTAGATGCACTGTCAGAAAAGAAATCATACGTTAAGGGGTTAAGGACGTATTCCGATTTGGAGACGTCATTTTTGGGATAACAAATTATTGGATAATTATAAATCGAGGGATTGGTAATGTTTTATTAATTATCTTAACACGTTCGCACCAATTCCCACGATAGAACCTACATGTAATGCGTCATAAAACATTCACAGTCTGAGTATTTAATCAATATTAGGCGTGCAGACATCTATCTTATTATGTAAAACTGACAAAAATATAGATATTAAGAACGTAAGTGAAAATAATTCGAAGGACAGTGAGCGATGCTTCGACAGAACCGCGGCAGCGAACGTGTTAATTATGATTTAACTTGAAATCAGTTTAACTTCGTCATCTCCTCAATTTCACACGTAGAATTTGAGCAGCACATTTTCGTATTTTGCAAAAACACGAGAGAATACACTCTCCAAGAGTTACACTATCCCGAGACGTCCAAAAATGCGCAAAAGTTCGGAATTATTTTCCAAGGTAACTGTTACACGAAAAGTTTTAATTCGTTCACAGGATATAAACGTAACTTTCGTCCATTCTCTCCAATTCTCGCGAAGTATTATAAAAACGCAACAAAAAGTGAAATTTATCGCGAAACATTTATATCCCCCGAAAAAATTCGCCAACTTTCCATCGAGCAGCGGGCCCCCCTTAATCATCGACAAAATCCCGTCGAACGGGAAATTTCCATGTGCAACCAAGTCGTTTCAAGTTACGACCCTGCGAATTCCAATTAATCGCGCCTCCCATCGACAAGGAGGAAACGTAACCGCAGAGAAAACGTCGGTGAACGAACGCGATACTACGCGACTTGGTTTCCATCGAGAGAGAAGCTTCACGAAATGAACCCTCTTTGAGAAAAGACTACTACTTCTGCTACCGATATTCTACATCCCCTATTTTCTCTCCCTTCGTCGCGATTTCTTCTCTTCCTTCGACCAGTTTCTTCTTCTTCTCTTTCGACAGAACCTGGCGGGTTTGTGCTTCGGGTACAGCACACGAAACTCTTGACACGAAGCCAAGTGGCACGAAAGCTAGAGGTTGTTCGAGGCTTGAAAACGCGCGATCGATTAGGCTCGCGCGCGTTTCACAGACGTTACGAACGTTCTAGAGGTTAACGAGAGCTAACGGTTCGCCGAAATTCCGCGTTTCGCGGCTTGCTAGAGATTCTGGATCGTGTATAGAGGTCGTTTTATAGAAGGGAGACACGCCGCGGCTGTGGGAAAGCCGCTCTACCCGCAACGAAAGGCGTCCGTCTACGAGCGCGAGCTTCTTGACGCGGTGCCAAGTGGCACGAAACACTTCTCGGCCGCTCGATACAATTCGAAACGTTTCCACGATCGATACACCACCGGTCTCTCTCTCTCTAGCTCTCTCAGATTGCACCTAGTTGCTTGTAATCGAGGAGAAATTGACGGGTTCGTTTTATTAGGATTACGAGAAGAGATTCAGGTGGGCGGATGTCGGTTTCGTAGGTGTGATATTTGTAAATTCTGTATGTAGATGGGAAATTCTCACCTTTGCTAGCACGGGATTGAACGTGAACTTCGACTCGAGTTCCTTCCTCGGCGTCTGGGCGATGGCCGTCAGAGGCGTGGGCGGCATGGTCATTTCCTGAAACAGAACCGATCGATTGTGGATTAACGTTTGCACTGCCGCAACTGATTCCGCTTGCTCGAATCGTGTACACCCACTAATCCAACCCCTGACACGGGATAGGTAATAGTGATAACGACGATTTTCTTCGAGTTTAGTATTATCGAGGATAATGGGGAACTGGTGTGAGTTGTGTGGTTGAGGAAAAATGGGAGTTTTGGTGAGAATATTTTGTGAATTGGCTAATGGAAGCTTTAGTTTCGAAAATTACTATAGCGAAAGTTTCCATATTCGAGAATATCGACAGAAATCTGGGAAGAAAACAAGTTAAAATATACACTACCGGCGAAAAGTTTGGAATCACCGAAAATTTCCAGAAGAAAGTCAGCGACTTTGAGAATTTTTTATCGTTCGAATCAATCGATACGAGATAAATTGATAAATGTAGAATTGAGATAATCTTCAAATCTATAAAAAATTAGCAGCAGATTTAATATTCATGAAAAGTGGGAGGTGATTCGAAACTTTTGGCCGGTAGTGTATGAAATGTAGTCTGTTTCATCTAATGGAAGTTTTAGATCAAAAAACTATAGTGTATAGCTGATAGAAAAAAATATGTAAGACAGAATTATTCAAAGTTTACATATTGGAGAGTATCGACAGAAATCTGAGAAAATAAATTAGTAAAAAATCAGCTAAAATTTATGAAATGTAGTCATTTCCGCCTGATGAAAGTTTCAGCTTCGAAAACTACTGTGCATAGTCGGTGGAAGAAATACAGCGAAGTTAAAAGTTTCCATATTCGAGAATATCGACAGAAATCTGAGAAAATAAATGATTAAGAAACAAGCTAAAATATTACATGAAATGTACTCTTTTTCGCCTGATGGATGTTTCAGCTCTGAAAATTATTACATATAATCAATGGAAGAAATATAGGAAAGTTGAAAGTTTACATATTCGAGAAGATCGACAGAAATGAGAATATACTAAAATAAATGATTTAATTCCAATCAGCAGACTGAATGCCACAGTATCAATCGGTGTCGCTATTTAATACTTGAATTCACAACCTCGCTATATTTCTTCCACCGACTATACCATGGGTGGTTACACGCGACACGGAACGCGTTAAGAAGCCAGGGAGAATGGTAAGTGGATTGTGACACTGGAAATGGCTCGACTTAAAAGTCTAGAAATCCTCGTACGTATACAATCTTCTCCATAGTGATACAAAACTGTCTGAAGAAAATATTTAAAAATCTAATCAATTACCGCGAGTCGTCGAATTATTACGATCATTTCTAGATTATGAATGGAATTGAAAACGAAACTTTCCCCATTGCAAAGAGTAGATATTGGATAAAGGATTTAAAAAATGTTGAAAAATATGTTATCAACATTTCCTCACGCCACACTCTTCACGTTTGTAATTGCTCGAATACGAATCAGCATACTTCCAATAGTTTCTCTACATTTTTCTTTTATTCCTGCGTCATGGTGTCATACTGATATATGTAAGTTTCTCAATCAGTAGCTGTTTATTAGTTATCACACAGACTTTCTATTGAATTCACATCCGATAAACTACGATAAAACCTGAATTTTTTCTTAGTTAGATAAGCTATCAGAATATAATCGAATTGTCTAGGTATGCATTGAAAACGTTTTCAAAGTCACAATACCACTGAAAACGTAAGATATGCAATTTTCCATCCGATCGTGATAATTAAATCGCCCACTGTACCCACATTACCACATACACTGCCACCAGAAGATCAATAACCCCCTGTACAATACATTCTGAACCGCACATGCTGCGTCCATGGCACTGCACAGCCTACCATCTAATACGTCCAATGAAAAAAAAAAAACAGATATCATAGAAAATCTTACAAAACCTTAAAAGAACCTCTCTCTAAATACATTCTGAATCTAATCATTCCACCACCTAATACGTGCAATGAAAAAAAAATGGATATCATAGGAAATCTCACAAAACCTTAAAAGAACCTCTCTCTAAATACATTCTGAATCTAATCATTCCACCACCTAATACGTGCAATGAAAAAAAAAACAGATATCATAGAAAATCTCACAAAACCTTAAAAGAACCTCTCTCTAAATACATTCTGAATTTAATCATTCCACCACCTAATACGTGTAATGAAAAAAAAATGGATTTCATAGGAAATCTCACAAAACCTTAAAAGAACCTCTCTCTAAATACATTCTGAATCTATTCATTCTAATCATCTAATAATTCTGTCATTTAATACAAAAAAAAAATAGATATCAAGGAAAACCGTACAAAACCATTAAAAAAGCTCTCTCTCTCAATACATTCTGAATCTATTCATTCTAATCATCTAATAATTCTGTCATTTAATACAAAAAAAAAATAGATATCAAGGAAAACCGTACAAAACCATTAAAAAAGCTCTCTCTCTCAATACATTCTGAATCTATTCATTCTAATCATCTAATAATTCTGTCATTTAATACAAAAAAAAAATAGATATCAAGGAAAACCGTACAAAACCATTAAAAAAGCTCTCTCTCTCAATACATTCTGAATCTATTCATTCTAATCATCTAATAATTCTGTCATTTAATACAAAAAAAAAATAGATATCAAGGAAAACCGTACAAAACCATTAAAAAAGCTCTCTCTCTCAATACATTCTGAATCTATTCATTCTAATCATCTAATAATTCTGTCATTTAATACAAAAAAAAAATAGATATCAAGGAAAACCTTACAAAACCATAAAAAAAGCTCTCTCTCAATACATTCTGAATCTATTCATTCTAATCATCTAATCATTCTACCATCTAATACATCCAATGAAAAAAGAAAAAAATAGATATCATAGGAAACCTCGCAGAACCTTAAAGGAACCTCTAACTAAATACATTCTAATCATCTAATAATTCTGTCATTTAATACAAAAAAAAAAATAGATATGATAGAAAAGCTCAGAAAAGCATAAAAAACCCAACGCGAACACAGTATACATCACTCCGTTCGGCCATTGTCGCAGTCGTAAAAAAAGGTGACCCTTTTCCTCTAGATCGGGGCGTATCGCGTGACCGTTGGGTGCTTGTGCAAGTGATGCGCCTCTAGACCGTAGGCTTTTGCGTAAGACCGTCCCCGCATCTGGGCCACGCTTACGTCAATGGACGCCGGCAGGCGGCGAGGGCCGCACACGAAATTCCGCGTATGATCGGAGGCGCAGGTACCGCTTTCGGACGGCGCGTCTATTAACGGTGAGCGCGGGCACAGAGAGCCGCGCACAAGTCGCAAACGCGCGAACAATGCAGTCTGGTGGATCGGCCACGGTGCAGCGAGCTCGACGAAACGCATTTCCACGAGGAGAATCGTCGGGACCGATTCATTGACCCGTCGAGACATCCGTCGACAACGCGAACAAAGACCGACAGGAGACAAAAGCCACTCGTTCTGGACCAGCTTATATTCTCTCTTCCTACGATCAAAACCGTAAAGCCTTGTTTACCGCTCCCACGAATTATACACCCGTGAAAATTTCGACGATTCGAGCAGGTAGCTGTGTACCAGATGCGGTTTATTAAGCGTTAGTTCTCCTTTAGAACGATGTCTATGTACAAGTGAAGCTGTTTGGATCCGCTTCTGTCTTTGAGTTTCTGGTTGTCGCGAGAGGAAAAGGATTGGAAAAGAAGTCGATGGTTTCTAGTTTCCTAAGTAGCTTATGCATGTTGCCAAAATTGAAGGAGTTGCAGGTGAAGGGATGTTTAAGACTGGTAAAGTAGCTTGTGAAGTTTGAGTCGTGAATAATCCATTTCTGGTTCAGTCGAGTCAAAAGGTACCTTTTTCTGAGTTGCTCTTAACATATTACTAACTAATCGAATTGCAGTTGCATAGAGGTTTAAGATTGGTAGAGAAACCTGTGAAATCTCACTCGTGAATAATCCGTTTCAGTCGAGTCGAGAGATACTCTTAACATATTGTCAACTGACCGAATTGCAGTTGAATAAATATGCAAAATAGGTAAAGAGGGGCGTAGAGGAATTGGTAAAGAACCCTGTGAAGTCTGAATCGTAAATAACCTATTCCTGGTTCAGACAAATCGAAAGATCCCTCTTTCTAAGTTGCTCTTAGCATATTACCAAGTGAGCGAATTGCAGTTGCGTAGAGGTTTAAGATTGGTGAAGAACTCTGTGAAGTTTCAATCGTGAATAATCCATTTCTGGTTCGGTCAAATCAAAAGATCCCTATTTCTAAGTTTCTCCTAACATGTTACTACTATATTACGTCTAAGATTGGTAAAGAGAGTCCTAGAGAAATTGATAAAGAACTCTGTGAATAATCCATTTCTGGTTCAGTCAAATGAAAAGATCCCTCTTTCTAAGTTCCTCTCAACGTACTACCTAGAAGAGACCTAGAACAGTTGCTAAAAATCCTAAATAACAAAGTACACTTCGTCAACATCGACTGAGAAAAGAAAAAACTCTCCTATCCACCCCTCTATCCAACCTTTCCCTATATCACATAAATTTCTTAGTCCGTCGTACTCTCATAAACTCTGAATCACAAATAGCACCCCAGAAAATAGTAGATCTACCCAATCTACCGACGATCTGTTAAAACAGAACGCAGACAGTGTAAGGTCTGTTTCGAGTAAAGTTTGAACAGCATCTATCGACGTACACTTCGATAAGAGCCTCGATATATCGAACGAGTGTTGGTTCATGAGAGTGTCCACGTGGCTATGCACGTTCAACACCACGTCACAACGATAATCGTGGTCGTTCTTAAACGCTGCCCACGCGAGAATCACGCTCGAGATAACGCACGTGCGCCGATGATGAACGTGGACTAGAAACGTGCACGCGTATTTTCCCGGTTTAGAGCTTGACACGGAAAAACTGATTGTTATCGATGCAGCCGCGTCGATGGCGGGCCTCTATTGTTTCGGTATTCGTCGGACCAAATGAAAGAGATGTTACGCATCGAGCTAATTGAATAGCGGTGACAC